CCAATGATGCCCTAAACAAGAAAAGCAGCAAATAACCCCCCTCACACTTCCTTCTGTGTCCCCAAATAGGGGACAAATAGGGTCCCTTCGGGACCTCTCTCCATCATGGATCCTGGTTTGTCCATAAATGCTGCGCCCAGAGGAGATATCAGCCGTGTCTCTCAAAGATGCACAAGCACCAGACTCAGCTGGGGAGCCCTTGGCTTCAAGAACAGCTGAGATGGTGACTTTTTAAATGCTTTATCAATACCCCAATAGCAAGGTACACACCCAACACCCAGATCTAATATCATCCTCCAGCCTCTCAAGGAACCAGGCCTTGACTTAATCTATATTGGCTCATTAACTGTGCAAAAATACCACATAATATAAGATGTTAATAATAGGGGAAACTGGGCATGGTGTATATGGGAACTCTCTACTTCTTTTTTTTCTTTTTGAACTCTCTACTTCTTTGCAACTTCCATAGCCTAAATTATCATAAAATAAGTTTATATTTTTAAAGGTTTTGTCTAACCAGAAAGTATGGTAGATACTTGCATAATTTTTCCCTTTAAATGTATTTATTCATATTCAACAAATATACATTGAGTACATACTCTGGGTTGGCATACACCAGCAAAGAACAATATGGCAGCCCCTGCCTGCAGGGAGCTCTGAGTCTACCTGAAGAATGACCAGCATGCAAGAGGGTAGGGAAAGTTACAAGTGACAAATATTAATATAAATGATGGAAGTCTATGGAAAATAGAATCCAGAAGTGTATCTTCCCCAAAATATACACTGCAAATTAAATAGAGAATAAAGTCCTAAGACTCAGTGATCACTTGACCACTGGATCAACGGTCAGAGATGATAAAGCATCTGTACGTGGAGAGCTCAAGATAAGAAATGGTGACATGAAACTCTCCCACCCTTTCTGGCTTAATATGTTAAGACATCATTACACATCTGCTAAGTCAACCAAAAGGAACAAAAAATAAAATCCAATGAAAACAGTGGGCCAGAGGCGGTACTAGCATCTATCCGCTAGTATCCTGATGGCAATCTGATTATAAGAACCAAGCAGCCTTTACATCCTTTGTCTGATAACCCCTTGCTAAGGACTGTCCCCCAAGGAAACGATGTGAATGGGAAAGAAAAGGAAAAAGTCAGTGATACTAAGATACTCACAGCTGCACTATTCTTTAAAGAAAAAAATCAATAGCCCCAAAGCCTGACGAGAAGATCCCAAGTGTCTGGTAAGTCACTGGGGTCACTGGGATTTAGTAGTTTTCCAAAGGGGATTCTGCAGGCAAAACACCACATGGGCTCAAGTCTCAGCTCCTCCACTTGCTCAGTGACCTTAAACCTCTCTGGTTCAGTATCCTCACACGTAAAGTGACCCTATTACTAACTCCTGCCTCCAAGAAATGCTGCAAAGCTTGAACAAGATCATGAATGAAGCCCAGGGTTTGGTGTGCAGAGATACCTTGTAACTGTTAGCTATAGTCAACACACTCTCTTTCTGCTGACAAGCTCTAGGAGACCAGGAAATAAAAAGGAAACTAACAGGGGGTGAGCTAAGGAGCTCCCTGTGACAAAATGTGAGTGAGGCACAGAGTCAAAAAAAGGAGAGGAACTACCCCAAGTCTGGCTGAGAGCAGGAAGCAGATCTTTCATGCCACCTTCAGGCCAGAAAGCCACGGCGGCAGGAGAGGGTGAACAAGACAGGGAATTTCCACATCCCTGATGGGGACCAGCAGGCGGAAGCGCAGAATGAGAACAGCGACCCCTCCCTCCCCACATCTGGCACCCACCCACCACCTACATACCCCAGGTCTGTGCCCCTCTGCCCCTGGCCCCGGTCTCACCCCTAGGCCACTGCATTAGCCCCTTACTCACCTCCCACCTCCCAACCCTCAAGCAGCAGCCAGCATATCATGTCACTCCACCTGCTTAAAGCCCAGCAGTGCTTCCCAGGGCCATTATCCTATTATCTCCTCGGATTAGGTCCTGCTGAGAGTGACAGAAAACCCAAATTACGGAAAATGGAAGCAGAGAGTGTGTGTAACTCTCCCTTGAGAGGGTTCCCCAGGGGCTGAGCCATTCAAGGCGAGCCGGCCACGCTGCCCAGGATGCCTTGGGGGACCAGGTTCCTTCTGTGTGACCTCTCTGAGCGCCCCTTATCATCAGTTCTCGGGGCAGCTTCTGAGCTTGAGGCACCAGAGGGAGGAAGAATCCAAAGAGGGGCAAAGCTGGTACTGGGAGGAGACTGAGGGCTGTCACATAACATTTTTTCTTTCAATCCATTGGCCAGGACATGCTCACATGGCCAAACTGTACTGCGGGGCATGCTGGGAAATGTAGTCTTTATCCTTGGCAGACATTTTATTATAGACGAAAGGAAGAATAATACACATTAAAATATATTAGGAGAACAGACATGAGAATAACTAACATAAAATCCAGCATCCCCCAGGCCTGCCTCCCAGCCTCAAGCCTGGTCGGTCCCCTCCTCCACCTCATCACCGTCATTGCCTGGAAGGTTTTCTTGCCCACGCATCTCCCAGCTAAACGCATCCTATAGGTCTGTGCAGGCTTCCCTGTTAGCTCAGCTAGTAAAGAGTCTGCCTGCAACGCAGGAGACCCTGGTTCGACTCCTGGGTTGGAAAGATCCCTTGGAGAAGGGATAGGCTACCCACTCTAGTAGTCATGGGCTTCCCTGGTGGCTTAGATGGTAAGGAGTCCTCCTCCAATGCGGGAGACCTGGGTTCGATCCCTGGGTCAGGAAGATCCCCTGGAGGAGGGCATGGCAACCCACTCCAGTATTCTTGCCTGGAGAATCCCCATGGACAGAGAAGCCTATGGGGTTGCAAAGAGTGGGACACGACTGAGCAGCTCAGCACAGCACAGCGTGAAATGTTGAATCCTCAGAGGGTCTTTCAGGTCCTCACTCCAGCACTAGAATGAATGTGGTCCCCACTGCCCTCCCCTAAGACACCCACACTTCCTCCGTGGTACGTTTGGCAGCTTCTCACACAGGACCATGGGTGGAGCTCCGGGCCATAAGTTCAGTGAAGGAAAGCCTGCCCTCTGTGCCCCAGCTCTGCACAAAGCCAGCACAGGGCAGTCACTACATATCCTGGTTGTAGAAGTCCATGCAGGGGACCATGTCCATCTCTCGGACTCCAGCCTCTGAGAGGCTCATGAGGGGCGGCACTGTGTGTGGATCCCTCCAGGGTGTGGCCCCTCAGATGGGGGAAAGGGCCCAAGAATCTGTACCCGGGTGCCTTACTGCCTCACCGCAGAGGAGGCTGTGGGTGGCCCTGAGACCATGGGGATCACCTGATAAGACTCCCTCTCACCAGCCAAGCAGAGTCCTAGCTGGAACCACCCTCGGCAGGTCAGCAGCTGAAGACAATTTAACTCGGGACATACCAACTATTTGATACCTCCCCTCAGATCTCTTGTGGGCACCTCCAACTAGAGGTGGCCAAGCTAGAATGCTCTGCCCTCAACCTGCCCTTTGACCTCTGACCACCCTATGGGATAACTGCAAGACACTATCACCCCAGCTTTCCAGGCAGGAAACCTGGACATCTCCTTTGATTGTTCCCTTTCTGTCTCCCCAACATGCAGTCTAGGAGCAAATCCTTCCAGGAGAACCTCCAAACTGCCCACACCGGTCACTCCCACAGCCTCCATCCTGGTTTGGACACCAGCAGTCCCCTCCCTATGGAGCACCGCCCCCACTTCCTTTGTCAAGCTGACAGTCCTGCAAATGGAACGGCTTGAGTGAAGTTTCTTGTTTTTAATGCTAGATCAGTTTATGTCACTCCCATGCTTAAAACCATCCCATGGCGTTTCCCCCCTGCACTGCACAAGAATGCCAGACTCCATGCCACAGCCCAGGCCCCAGGACCCGCCCTGCCACCCTCCTGCCTGCCCCCGATCCACTCCCCTGACTGACGACCCCCAGAATCACTCCCTCACAGTCATCCTCTCACCAGGCCCTGGCTGACCACCCATCTGGTGCCCCCCTGCCAGACAGACGCTGCATCTTATCTCCCTGCTTTCTTTCTTTCTGTTGACTCTCACTATTTACTTGTTGATTCATTTGGTGTGTCCCCAACCAAACTGAAAGAAGCCAAGAACACCGTCTGTCTCATTCACTGCCATGTCCCCAGGACTTAGAATGGGACCTGGCTGGCAAAACATGCTTCATAGGGAGTGAGAAAGAGAGACAGAGATAAAGAGACAGATGGAGAGAAAGTGAGTGAGACAGACAGAAAACTGCGTGATGAAATCAGTGGTCCCTCCCGACACCGCCCTCTCCGTGAGCACAGTGTAACAGGGAGGCCACACTTCTGACCATCTTGCTGGTGAAATCCAACAGTGAGGTTGCCCATGCCTGTACCCTCTGGGGCTCCTTGAGGCCCGAGAGGGAGGGCACAGCAGGCACTAATCCAGGTTGGAGCTCTGCCTGCCCCACCACAGGAGCCCCCTTAGCATGGGCAGGAAGGGGAAGAGGTGCTCCCCCAGGCTGGGGGGTCCCCACAGACAAGGCCAGCCTCCTGAACCCTGAACCCACAGCCCTGGCCCAAAGGCCTCCCCATATTATGGTCTGGAGGAAGGGTCCCCATCCAGGTGCTCTGGGACAGAGTGAGCCCGGCACAGGGACCCAGAGTCGCTATGAGAGCTGGCGTGGGGACACAGGCTTTCCCGACGGAAGGAGTCGGTTCTGCTCGCCACGCCTTCCAGAATGGTCCCCATCCTCCCTGGAAAGACACTTGTGCACGAAGGGGGAGGGACATCGAGAGCCGCTGTCGATAAAGGCTGATGCGCCCGAGGGCCAGGCCCAGGGTAGTCTGGACACAGCAGCCAGGGGCCACTCTGAGGCTCGTGCAGAGTCTCAGTTCAAAGACGCACAGGATAAGAGCTGCCCAGTGACCCTGGGACTTTGCTCTGCTCTTCAGCAGAAAACTTCCCCCAGCACTTGCCTCTCTGGTGAACCCATCATGGGAGCCCCAGCTGTCCTCCTCGCCGTGGCCCTGGTCACCCTCCTGGCTCCAGCGTCAGGGGCGCCCGTCCGCCAGCAGGCCTCCCGGAACAAGCTGCTCCTGGTATCCTTCGACGGTTTCCGCTGGAACTATGACCAGGATGTGGACACCCCCAACCTGGATGCCATGGCACTGGACGGGGTGAAAGCTCGCTACATGACCCCGGCCTTCATCACCTTGACCAGCCCCTGCCACTTCACTCTGGTCACTGGTGAGTGCTGGCCTCAGATGGGGTTTGGGGTTGTGGGGGGGCAGCTGAGACTCCAGGGAACCCACAAAACGAACCGCAGTGCGGGCATGGAGCCTCGACCTGGGAGGGCACACAGTGCAAGGACAAAGGTGAGGCTAAAGAGGGGACACCCTGACTGGGCAGACATGACACCGCCGAAGGGGGTGTCAGGAGCCCTTACCATCGGTGGCAAGCGATAGAAGGCAGATAAAAAACACCTGGAGGTTTAATCTTAAATGGGGACCATGCCCAGGGCGGCAACCTGGGAGGGCTTCTGGTGGAGGTGAGTGTGGCCAGGATTCAGAAAGGCAGGAGAGTTGAGCCTGAGGCTCCTGCTGTTTCCATTGCTTGCTCCCAGCCACCGTCGAACCCACCATTGCTCTATTTAGGCCAGAAGCCTAAAATCCAGGTGTCACAGAGCCACACTCCCTCCAGAGGCTGGAAGAGAGGATCCTTCCCACCTGTCCCAGCTTCCGGGGACCCAGGCGATCCTGGACTTGCAGCCACAGCTCTCCAATCCCTGCCCCTGTCACACGGCCATCTCCCCTCTGTGTACCTCTCCTCTTCTTGTTTAGGACACCGGTCATTGAATTTGGGGCCCACCTGATCCGGAATGCCCTCATCTTTTCTTTATACATATTTTATTTATTTGTTTATTTGTGGCTGCGCTGGGTCTTCTTTGCTGCACGTGGGCTTCTCTAGTTGCAGTGAGCAGGAGCTACTCCTCACTCAGTGCCGTGAGCTTCTCACTGTGGGGCTTTTCTCGCTACAGAGCACAGGTTCTAGGCACCCAGGCTTCAGTAGTTGCAGCATTCAGGCTCAGTAATTGTGGCTCGCAGGCTCAGGAGTGGTGGTGGCACACAGGCTTAGTTGCTCTGCAGCATGTGGGATCTTCCCAGACCAGGGATTGAACCCACGTCCCCTGCATTGGAGAGCTTCCCTAGTAGCTCAGTCGGTAAAGAATCCACCTGCAATGCAGGAGACCCTGGTTCAATTCCTGGGTCGGGAAGATCCCCTGGAGAAGGGATAGGCTACCCACTCCAGTATTCTTGGGCTTCCCTGTGGCTCAGCTGGAAAAGAATCCACCTGCAATGTGGGAGATCTGGGTTTGATCCCTGGGTTGGGAAGATCCCCAGGAAAAGGGAAAGGCTACCCACTCCAGTATTACGGCCTGGAGAATTCCATGGACTGTATAGTCCATGGGATCACAAAGAGTCAGACATGACTGAGTGACTTTCACTTTCCCTTTCCCCTGCATTGGCAGGCGGATTCTTTACCATGGTGCACCAGGGAAGTCCCCAGGATGCCGCCATCTTAACAAAACTAATGACACCTGCAAAGACCTTATTTCCAAACAAGGTCACATTCAGAGGCTCTGGGTGGACATGACTTTGAAAGTGAAAGTGTTAGTCGCTCAGTTGTGTCCAGCTCTTTGCGACCGCATGGCCTGTCCATGGAATTCTCTAGGCAAGAATACTGGAGTGGGTTGTCATTCCCTTCTCCAGGGGATCTTCCCAACCCAGGGAATGAACCAGGGTTTCCTGCATTGCAGGCAGATCTTTTTTACCATCTGAGCTGCCAGGGAAGCATGACTTTAAGGCATGTCACTTGTACAGACAGCTTATTCTCACACCAGCATTTTCATGACCAAGGCCCCTTCCACACGTAAGCAGAGGTCCCTGGTGCTCCCTTTTGCATGTCACCTCTTTACTTACCACATCACAATGGGGAATATGAACGAAGGAAGTGGACTCTTCAACACCCCTCTTCTTCTACTTTCTGAACTCACATGGAGGCATTGCCATGAAAAAAATTAAAAAAAATTTTTGAGGAACCACCATACTGTTTTTCATAGCAGCTGCACTATTTCACATTCCTACCAACAGTGCACAAGGTTTCCAATAGAGCATAGTGCTTTGGGGGCTTAGTTGGTGTACACCAGGTCTTTGTTACGGCATGTGGGATCTTTTGTCGCCGGACACAAGCTCTCTAGCTGTGGCTCGAGTAGTTGCAGTACATGGGCTTAGCTGCTCTGCGGCATGTGGGATCCTAGTTCCCTGACCAGGGATCAAATCCACGCCCCCTGAATTGCAAGGCGGAATCTTAACTATTGGACCACCAGGGAGGTCCTGAAAAAAATAAGTTAAAAAAGACACCTTCTCTTGGTTCATTTATCTTCCTGCCTGAGATTCTATTTCATGGCTGGGCCATAATTGATTTAATTAGTTCTCTCCAGATAGCCAGCCAGGTTGCTCCCAATCTTCTGCTAAAACCAATGAGGCTGCAAACGATATCCTGGAACATGTGTATTTATGCCTTTGTGGGAGTTCAGCGGCAGGATAAGCTACTCAAAGTGGAAGCAGAATCTCTGGGCCAGGGTACGTGGCTGTGGTGGCCCAGCCCGGCTCCCAGAGCCACAGTTGCTTCCCTGCCCCCTGCCCTGGCTGTTCCCTCCCTCCCACCCCCCCCCCCACCCCCACCATCCCACAGGCAAATACGTCGAGAATCACGGGGTGGTTCACAACATGTTCTACAACACGAGCAGCAAGCTGAAGTGGCCCTACCACACCACACTGGGCATCGAGAAATGGTGGGACAACGGCAGCTTGCCCATCTGGATCACCGCCCAGAGGCAGGTAATGCTGCACCCACACCCACTTGGACAGATGGAGGAGGCGGGAGGGGGACCTGGCCGAGCAGGCCGTGACCACGGCATGACCACGTGACATTCACGGCAGGACCCGGGAGTTCAGTGCTCCCAGCACAGAGAGGTGCTGAGCGGGGCCACATGGGAGATGGGAGCCGGGTGCCTTTGGGGACCCACCAGTGGCTGCACAGGCTGCCCTGTCCTCCCTGGGACCCAGAGGGATTGTTGCATTCTCCTGACTGGATGGAAAACTGGGCTTCAGTGCTGGTGAGAAGGGGGCCTCAGGGAAAATAATGTCAGTCCACTAACAGGCAGGGAACAATGAAATGGCTTCATCCTGGTTCCCCTCTCAGGACCTGGCAGTCAAAATCTAAAGGGTGAAAGATAAAAGTAAGAGGTGGGTCATCCCAGTGAAAAACCCAGAACCATAGCCTCTTGCAATGCTCTGGGCTTCCTGACAACAAACTCAATGGATGATTTCAAGGTGAGCCCAGAATAAACTTCACAGGCAGGGTGTCCACTCACATCTGAGTCCCCTCACTTCAGAAGGAGCTACAGACACCAGGCTCACTCGCAGAAAGCATAGCTGAGAACTGACATCTCAAGGTGGACATGATGACCTGAGGCAGTGGACAGCTGGTGGCAAGCACAGATGGATCTGTAAACAAAACAGCAATTGGTTTACAGAGAGACAGACGGATGGCCGGGTTGAAGGCTAGAAGGGCAGGCAATGGAGGAGCTGATGGATGCATAGCAGGAGACACCGGGCTGCAGGTCGGAAGGGAGAGCTCACAGAGCAGCGCTGTGACCTCCGGCCACAGTGACGAGGAGGACACAGCATATCTGGGGACACTTCTATATCCACTATCTCATCAGTGCTGAGTCCACTGGGCACTTTGCTCTCTCCTCTATAAAATCAGTATCAGCCCTAATAACATAAGATAAGAGCTATGAAAGGTCTTTCAGAAAATACAAAGGCCCGTGGCTGCAGTCAGGAGCAGGGATAGCTGAGTGGGCAGACCGGGGGGCAGGCGGTCGGGGCAGATGTTTCAGTGGGGGACAAGCGGGAGGCGGCCCGTGGCTCTGATGCCACCTTCCCCCCTCAGGGCCTGAAGACTGGCTCCTTCTTCTACCCCGGCGGGAACGTCACCTACCAAGGTGAAGCCGTGACACTGAGCCGGAAGGAAGGCATCCTACACAACTACAAGGATGAGGTGGAGTGGAGGGCCAACATCGACACGGTGATGAAGTGGTTCACGGACGAGGGCCTGGACCTGGTCACCCTCTACTTCGGAGAGCCGGACTCCACGGGCCACAGGTACGGCCCCGAGTCCCAGGAGAGGAAGGAGATAGTGATGCAGGTAGACAGGACCATAGGCTACCTCCGGGACAGCATCAGGAAGAGCGGCCTGGAGAGCAGCCTCAACCTGCTCATCGTGTCCGACCACGGCATGACCACCGTCAACAAGATGGCCAGTGACCTGGTGGAGCTCCACAAGGTCTCCAACTTCAGCTTCAAGGACATTGAGTTTGAGCTCCTAGACTATGGACCAAACGGGATGCTGCTCCCCAAGGAAGGAATGCTGGAGAAGGTGTACGAGGCCCTCAAGGACGCCCACCCCAGACTCCACGTCTACAAGAAGGAGTTCTTCCCCAAATCCCTCCACTATGCCAATCACTCCCGGGTCACCCCTCTGCTTATGTACAGTGACCCGGGTTACGTCATCCACGGGGTGAGTTCCAGGGTGTAGGCACATCTCTGCCCTGCTGAGTCTCTCTCCAGTTCTGTAAAAATCACTCCCCTGTTTCTAGTCAGACCCCAATTTGAGGCGTGTCAGCCTCCAAAGGGACACACCCACACTATGAGACAGGAGTTTGGGTGTGTACATGCGTTGCGTACCTGTGTGCATGGGTGTGCATGGATACATGTGTTTGTGTGTGCACGTGCGTGTATAGGGTAAAGTGGGAAGGCTAGCTGTAACAGTGACATAGAAGAGGTGAGAGAGCTCTGGGAGGCTGAGAGGGAAGCACTATGCAGAGCAGGGGCAGGATTCTAGGAAAGGAAGTACTGACGTGTGGGCGCCCAGCCATGGAAAGGAGCGTGTCCTTGGCTGAAGCTCTTCCCCCTTTACTTGGGTCTCCATTCATGTTTCTGGGTCTTCGCTGAGGCTCCTTCTTTGGGCCACTGATCTTTGGGGCTGAGAATTCAGAGACACGGAGGTTCAGAATCTTTCCCACCCCGGCCCCATTTGAACTCCCTCCAGCCGTCCTCTGAAACCCGTGGCCCGGCAGGTGGTGCTCCTGGGAGAGGGTGGGGTGAGCTGGAAGGGTCAGCACAAACTCACTCAGGACCTTCCCTCCTGGCAGAGAGTGAACGTGCAGTTCAACAATGGGGAGCACGGCTTCAACAATGAGTTCATGGACATGAAGACCATCTTCCGGGCAGTGGGCCCCAGCTTCAAGAAGGGCCTGGAGGTGGAGCCCTTTGAGAGCGTCCACGTGTATGAGCTCATGTGCAAACTGCTGGGCATCGTGCCAGAGGCCAACGACGGGCTCCTCAGCACCCTGCTGCCTATTCTCCAGGAGACCAACGACAGTGTCCTGAGCACCCAGACACCCACACTCAGCCCCTCGCTGACCACGAGCCCCTCAGGTGTGCCTCCAGGCAGCTGCAGGGGATGGGGGCCTGCAGGGCCGTAACCAGGGTGCCCCGCCAGCCACTTGGTGCTGCCTGCGCCTTCCTGTCCCCGGCGCCTGGGAACATCTGGAGTCCCTGACATCCCATGGCACCTGGCACCGCACAGGCTGAAGAGCCAGTGGACGGGTGTAGCCTTGTTTAAGATGCGGAGGCTGAGGGCCAGAGGAGCTGGCAGTTTGCCCACTGGACACGCTACCTCCAGGCTCCATGGGCACGTGAGGACTCCTTCCTCTGTCAGCCTCCCCTACACACATCCTTGCCCCCACCCTGACCCATCTCAGGGGCAAAGGTCACCCGGGAGCTGGCAAGGTGGCAGCTCTTGGGGGCACCTTGCTGGGGATGGGCAGGCCTCACTGGGCAGGGGCTGTGAGGGATCACACTGAACACAAGCCAGGAGGCCAGTGCAGCTGGGGCAGGTGAACAAGGTGGCGGGGTGGGGTGATGAAACCTGGGAGATGTGGGGGTGGCCTGGGGACACCTCACCTGCCATTAAAGAGTCAGGGTGAGGAACATGCTCCCACGTCTCTCATTCACGAATCCTCTGACTTTCCTTAGGGTCTGCCCTCCTGCCAAGCGGCTGGCCTCCCTTGGTGTTGGGACTGCTGGTGGCTGCAACTCTCCTGGTCAAGGTCGCATAACACCCACTGCTCAAGGATCAGAGCCCCAGGAGGTGGAGATGTGAGGAAGTTGGAGTCATTATGCATCCCCGTGCCCCTACCTGCACTCACCCTCTGCCCTCCCAGGTCCAGTTGAGGGTCAGGAATTCCCATGGGGCCCTCCTCAGTCTCCACTTGACATGGGTGCCTCCATGCACTGTCCATGCCCCCACCCAAATACCCTCTACTCCCTCCCTCCAGGCCTGTCTGCTCCATCTCCTCCACCTTCCCCTGCCCCATCTCTTCTTCCCAACCCAACACACACCTGTCCTTCCAGGCCCATCTCTTCCAGGAAGCCTCCAGAAGCTGCAGACAGGATCTGAGCCTGCTCCTGCTGTGATGATCTACTGAATACAGATGGGCCTGTCTCCTCAGTAGACATGGGACCAGGCCTACATGCCTCTGTGTCCCCACAGCCCCAGCCCAGGCTTGGCCATCATCATGGCCAAGCAATCTTGCCATCATCATGCTAGCAATCTGACCCCTGCCCAGGTTTAGATCTCTGGGGGCATAATCTGGTTCACTGGCCCACAGCCCCCAGACTCCCAAGATGCCCCTATTCCTTCCCTCCCTCTCCTTCTCCTTCAACCCCCCTTTCCACCTCCTCCTCTCCTCTCAAAGCAGAACCACCCCCATGACAGCAGGGGACAGGGGTGAGGGCGGGGGGCAGGGATGGGGAAGGGCGGTCACCGAGTGCACGCTGATGGGGAGGGGGTACCCGAGTGCCCTCTTGGGAAGGTGCAGCAGGCTTGGTGGTGGTTGTACTAGGACCGAAGCCTCAAACACTCAGACCCCAAACTCCAGCTCCAGTGGGCGATGAGGAGGCTCTGCCCTGGAGCTCCCAGCCCTGAGTCCGCACGCCTCCAGCTGAGGGGCCATCTCCATCTCCAGGACCAGGTCCTGCCCACAGGCCACTAGGAGTGCACCGCCAGGCAGAAAGCACAGATGGGAATAAAGGACCCCACTGGCTGTTACCAAAACACAGTGACCAATGTGGGTGCAACTTTTTATTCTAAAGCCTGCTGGTTTCTTATAGTCTTCCCACTTGGATCCAGGTTATAATAAACTCCCAGTTTCTTAGGAGGCTGACAAACACAGGGGAACCTACCCATTCTTGCTGGGAACGGGCCCTGGTTGGACTGCCAGCAAAAGCTGGTAAAGGCTGGGCTCCCCATTAAAAAGCAAAGGGGGAGATGAGAACTGATAGGAAACCAGAACTCTTTGCCACATAGCTCAGCTAAAAAGAAAATGCTGCAAATGGTAGAATGCCATTGTGGGGGGGGGGGGGTAAATCTACACATAAGACTTATCCTTGGAGAAGTTTCAAGAAAAGGTGAATATTGACTGGCTTCAGAGGGGACCTGGGTGGCCAGGCCAGGAGCAGGGGGCCATATCCACCCCCTAGTGCCTTGGACACTGTCAGTACTGAGCCACTTCAAGGACTGTGCATTCACAACGGCTTTCAAGAGCATAGACTTTGGAGTCAGACCAAGTACTGCTCCAGTCTGTCCCCATGGCCTGAGGGGAGTAGTTTACCTCCCCCAGCCTCAGTTTCCTCATTTGGAAAAATTGGATAATAAGGAGTGTCCATGTCTCTGAGATTACCCCAGGATGAAGCACCGAGACAGGTGGTTCTTAGACAGTAGCCACAGGGATAATTAAAACCCTACTATGGGCGATGCTAAAGTTGTCAAATTCAGCTCTTGTGTATAAATCCAGCTATAACAATGACAGACACATTCTTTGAAGGACTGGTTTGTCAGGATCTGTCTATTCCCTGTCTATGAATCCCTCCTTTCCCTTCCCCGGGCCTCTTACTTCTATCTGCAGCTTGAGCCCCATCTCCATCTGCAGGATCAATCCCAACCTGCCCTCCACAGCTGCCTAAGCACCAGCCTGGAGCTGGAGTCCTGCCTGACTGGAAAGGCCCTGCGGCTCCCTGGCCCTGCATCCCATAGTTGTCCTGGAAGGACTGCCCCACCCCCACCGCCCGCAGCCCTACTGGGATATCCAGGCCCTCCTGGCTGCCCACACTGGCTTCTGAATCTGGACAGGCCCAAATCAGGCTGGAGGAAACCAGTGGGTGAGGTATCCCTTTGCATCCATGTACATGGAGCAGTGAGCGCTCACACATGTCAGCATAACCGCCATGACCCCCGTCTCTAAGAGACACCCAACCTTTCACCAAGAGCCCACAATGACCATGGCCAGACTAGCCTACTTTCTAGGGATAAGCCAACAGATATCTGAGAATCACTCTCGATCAGCTTTTTCAAACAGAAAAGAAAAAGAGAGAGAAAAGAGAGATATCTGCCTTATATTTGTTTTTATGATCACCTTCAGCTTGGGTGAATGCTACTGATTTTCCATTTGTGTTCTGTTATTTTCTAAGTTTTTTCCTTTTAAAAGTAACTTAAGTGAAAAAAATGAGTTGATTTAAAGAAAAATGTTGACTGGTAGACACAACAAAACAAAAATAATAAAGGAGGTTTTCCAGAGTCAGGATAACCACACTAGTTGTCCACGACCCTCCCTCCTCCCCTCCCTTCCCACAGCGTGGCCAGCCCAGGATGCTTCTGGAGGGTAGCTCTCAGCCTCCCCAAGGCCAGTGTCCAAAGTCTGCCCCCCAACCCCTCCACAGAAGTACACTGGATTTCCACCATGCCCTGCACCCTTCTCAGTACCTATCAGAGGAGTTCAGGACTCCATGGAAAACTAATGTTGCAGTTCTCTGTACAAAGTTCATTTTACTATTAGCCTGACTAAAAGGGTCTGGAGAAAACCCCAGCTGAAACAAAGCCATGCACTGCATTCTCGAGCCACGTGGACATGACTGGGGACTGTCTTACATATCAGCCACACACAACTTCCTGTTTTCTCAGAGCCTTTGTTGAATTTGGCCAGTCCAGCTGCTGGCAGTAATGGATGAAACGTTCCCGAGTAATGACCGGGTAGTTCATGCCTGGCTGGGTATATGATTGGGACACTGAAAGCCCCCTTTGTCAAGAAGCCCCATTCTTTAGAGTCAGTCCTGCACGCTGTCACCAGGAGGCGGCGCTCTTGGGCTCCTCAACACCCCTTGAAGTCTTTCTCAAGCAGCTGCTGAAGTTGAGAGGAATTCAGAACCTCCTCTTACCCCAACTTCTACTCCCCCTTCTCTGAAATAGCCAGACCAGCCTTCTTCTCAGACCAGCCTTGGGGATGTGGCCAAGAAGTATTTATGCTTCATCTAGTTTTAGATGGATCCCCAAGCAAAACACAGGATGTTCAGAAAAAAGAGCTAGAACTTTCCCCACTGGGTTTGTTTTAGAATCCCATGATGGGAGGGGTCATGTAGCCCCATGTTTAGCACAAGGGTCACCGCAGATCAGTGCTTCTCACATTGGTAGGTCTGGAAATGGGCCTGAGAATTTACATTTCTCTCTAGTTCCCAGGTGATTCTGATACTGCTGGCCCTGGCACTACACTTGAGCTCTTTGCACTAGATAAAGGTTATGAATGAATGAATGAATGAAAAGTGATATAGACCAACCTCCTCCCGTTACACAGGATAAGAACTGAGGTGGCATCTCCCACCGGCTGGCTCTGAACAGAGGTGGGAGGGGAGCACAGGTATATCAAAGCTGGTAGGCCTGGCCAGTCTTTTCAACCACAAAGTCTCTACTGGATGGGAGTGAAGTCTGCTTTCCAGAACCTGTGAGCTGCTCCCCTCTCTGCTGAAGAGAAGCCTGTGCCAAACTCCCTTCAGCCCCTCCCAGGTTTTTTCATTTGTCCTGGGACCCAACAAGAACACCTGCGGGTCATAAAACCCGATAACTGCTTGCGAGGCTCCCGGCCACCTTTAGAACGCGGGGGTGTCTCCCCTGAGCAGGATCCGAAGCGCCAAAGACTTGCTGCGCCTTCACACCTGGAAGCAGCAAGGGCTTTGTGAACAGAACTCGCTGCGAGGTGAGACAGCAGGAATCCTTTGGGCCCCGCCCCAGGCCTGCCGAGCGCCCAAGTGAGGACCCCGGGTCCCCCAGGCATGCCGGGGAACCGAGGAGGCGGCGTGTCCAGTACCCAGGCTGGGAGCCTCATCAGATGCCTCCCCTACCCGCCCCACGCCCACCTCCGCCGCGGGAGCATCTGTTGCCATGGTTATCTGCCGCAGTTGGTCCAGCCGGAGCTGGTGGTCCTGCGCGCGGCAAGCGGAGATCCGCTGAGCCCCAAGCTGGGAGCGCAGCCCAAACCAGACGGGACGCGAACCCGGAGCGCTGCAAATGCTCGCTGTACACTATCACAAGCGACTGCGGCGCTCCACA